TCTTCCTCATCATACTTAAAATAATATTTGGTCCATCTCGCCAAAGTATAATCACTACATTTTTGCATTGGAATTCTGCATACACTTTGATGGATTTTGTTTTGAAAACATCCACACCTGTTTTGTTAGGCTAAACAGGCCTAAGTTAATGTTACTTTAAGGAAATTGGAACAACATCTCTGTTCATCTAAGTTTAGGTTTCAAAGTTTGTGAAATATCAACACGTGCACAATTTTCTAGCCTTTCTGGAATCAGTATTTATTTTTTCAACGTACATGTACTCATTCACCAGGCTGACAGGATGCGGCTGTTCTATTCCATAACTTACAAATAACGTAAGTGCTTTTACACATGCTAAATTTGAATATATATATATATATACTGTATATACACATTTTTTAATCGATTACGAACACTTAGTCACACAGTGTTTTTGCTACAATTAAAAAGACAAGGCTATGTATGAGAAAATACAACACACAATTATACGACAATGAAAACTATATATATTGTTTCAAACTCATTGCTAATGTTTTTCTTTATATGCCACTTGTGAATAAAGTAAAAAAAAAAGTTTCTTTATTTTTGAAGCGTAGAAAAGCACTAAGTTAATACATAATATAGGAGGCACCTTCATTGTAAGCTTCAATGTGGATTCAATAACCGCAAATATAATTACACGCAGATGATATGTTACAACAATTGTTGAATAATATGTAGGCCGTAGTGACAGTCACTAGAAGGTTATGAAGATTGCACATATTTTTCTTTGTTTAATAATAATATTAAATCCCATGATGACTGTTTGAAAGTGCGAAATAATTTAGATTCTTGATCTTAGAAAAATAAAAGATTAAAAGAAATTATAACTAGAAAGAGTTTACTAACAGTAAAAACTAATTATGAAGGTCCAAATCTTAGGTTATTTGTAACTTTCTAGATCCTTAACCAATTTAACACTACATCACTTTATATAAGGGAATGATTTTACATTATTTTCGAATTATAATTAATGGTAATTAACATCTTTGAATTTTCTTTTTAATTTTCACGAATAGATAGACTTCGAGAAAGCAGCTGGCCAACAGCATCCACCGGTCAGCTCTTGTCTGAATGGATAATAAGGTTTAACTGTCACGAAGAGCGTTTAGTGGCAACAGGGCACAAATAACGAATCTTTGGATTCATAGTACGGTCAAAGCTATATGGATTAGTAATATGTTAAAATCAAGTTAAAATAATGCTACCAAACTCTATTCCACGAACTATATTAAACTGTTTGTATTTCGAAATAAAATTCGACATGATTTCATAACAAACTTTGTACAACATATAGTATACCGATTTTTAACTACAGAATGACGATACGGTCCAGAACTCATCAGCTTTTTAAATATATTTTCACAAAGTAGCTATACACAAAATTCTTTGTAGGTCTATGAATTTGTTGGTTACAGGGTCTCTAATGATATATCGGGTCACAAACACACACAAAGTGTAAACGCAAATACCATCAACATTGCAATAGTTCTATCAATTACTGCTGGATCCCTAAAGTCGGTAATTTGAGGGTTAAAATAAAGTGTATTAATGAATCCACGTCATTTTGTCAAAATGCTGTTCAATTTGGGAAGAGTCGTTGTTGTTGTTATGCACAAAGCTATACAAAGGGCTATCTGTGCTCTGCTCACCACGAGTATCGAAACTCGGTTTCTTGCGGTATTATTCCGCAGACATACCGCTGTGCCACGGGGGAGGGGGGAGTTAATATTCAATTTTTAGGAATAAATGGTCACTAAAGAAGATATTAAACCGATTAGACATACACTTTGTATATATTTGACCAACACCAATTAGGGTTAAAGACTCATAGTAAATAATACTATATATAATTATTTGTTTGAAGTTAAGCACAAAG